TTCGAAAATAATAGTCACTGCCGTAAGCAAACTATAGCAGCTGTGAAGGAATCATTCCCCTACAGGCTTGTTTTGTAAGTTTACGAGTATGAACATTTATTCAGAAGAAATCGATGAAACACAACATATGTGCCCTAATCTCAAACCAATCCTGAAATGGATTGGAACTTTGTGGGATGCATTTACATTTACAAGATTTCAGAGTTTGCTATTCAAACCTCTATAACTTGTGTTAAGTAATTGGACCAGCAAAGAATAGCGTCCAACTTAAATTTATCAACGTTGATTTGGTTTTAAAGGTTTTAGAGCAACTTAGAGCCTTAAGCAAACATGACTGATGTATTTTTTATACTGCTGATTTTCAAAAATTTGCGAAAACGTTACCACTGAATATGATATCACATTGATTGAACAACTTTAAACTCGCTTGACGTCAAGTGACAGGTTGGCTTCTGGCAAAATATAAATTTATTTACCTTTGCTTATCGTAGTATCTAGTAATGGTTGGATAAGGATTTTTTTTTATCACAATCACACTTTTGTCTTAATAACCCATATTTTGATCCATGACAACTTCTGTCTCAATGTCGAAAAACTATCTCGATTATATTCCTTCAAAATTTGTATATATTGGGAAAGACAAAAATGCGGCAAAACTGTTGTTTTAAAATATATACAATGTACAGTGTACATTCTATTGTTAATTATAATTTCATCGTTTTCCGGTGCATTTCATCAATCTTTCAACTCAGTTTAAGTTACATTAATGTTTCTGCTATTTTGAAAACAAAATACTTAGGATCCAGTCTAAATTTCAAGTCGACACATGAAAGTTCACCCTGAACGAAAATTGAAACCATAACTCACCTACCCAGGGGTTGAAACTGTTGACGTTTTTTACTACGCTCGCTTCGTTGTCGTGCGCGACAGTCTGTTTGTATGCGTAAACTCATGCTCTACCGTCATCTCTCTCACACAACATTCGAGCAAAAATAAAATTATCAAATATCTATCACATGACATGTGTTATTTCGTTCTAATACCTCAATTTAAACTATTTCTGATCAGAAATGTTATTACTTGGTCATCATTGCTTGCTATTTACAGAACTCACACAAGCACAACATCAGCAGCTCTTATTATGAGAAAAATTAAAATACATACATTCATGTGACGGTCTTCGGCGACAGTGTCGTTTGACAGAGCCTGTCATATGACATTTTAGTCTGTTACTGGACTACACACTTAGAAAAATTCATGTAAATTTAGGTGCTCTGAGACTGACATATACGAGCGTCAATTTTGACATAAATTTGAGTCATAACAGACGCGAAATATAGCTTAATCAAACGTACTTTTCGTCGAGCAACGAACTTTTCAGTCTCGGAGCACTTTATATTGCATGACATGTTTGTTTACGTCTCATCTTTTATGTCAAAGATGGATTCCGTCACTTGTAAAATTAGCTATTTCTAAGTGTGTATGATAACTTGTTTTGCAAGTGTCGGAGGCAAAGGCAGTCGATTATCACAAAAAATGTGTCGAATACTGTGACCCCTTACAAGACTGCAACTAAGATATTTTTTTTTTTTCTTCAAAAATCATGTAAAAAATGCTTTTTTGAACAAAATATACGTGAGAACACGTGAAACTGAACCGAAACTAATTAAATGAACATAAGCCTTAGCTTTTTAATAACATTCCCTCTAAACAAACTTCTACTGCTCTAGTATTTTTATCAAATCATCAGTCCCTCTGCTCAAGGCCAAGCTTTTGACGTAGACTACGTCTTACGGGAAGGTAAATCGAAAATCCAAAATTGCGACCGCCACGGAAAGGTGTACGATTTTGAACGCGTATAACTTAGTCATTTATTGATGAATTTAAAATCCAAATACACCAATCGATAGGAAATACCTTTCGTAAGCTGTTCCAATAAACCCTTTTCTTTTTTTAAACTGTTTTAAAAATGGACAAATAAAAAGTAATAATGTTATCACTGTTTTCATGAAATAAACGTTCTCCCTAAGCCCAGTCCTCATAATCTAGTACAATTTTGTTTGAATCTGAAAAGCTGAAAAACCGCGCTGCTAATGTGCCTAAGCTCATTTTAGCTTCGGACGGCGGGTAAGCAGGTAGCAGGTAGCAGTAGCAGCAGTAGGAAGACGGTTCCTGTCAAGCGCGCAGCGTTCGAGTTTTGCACCTCGAACAACGACGAGTTTACTGGCTGCCTGTAGCAGCGTCGCCTCGATGGCGCAAGCGCTCCTTGGTTGAATGATAACTACAAATCTCGATTACTTTTCGAAAGGACATATCAGCTTATGTAAACATAACTAATAGCTCGCCCCACATACTAACACCACTATATCAGGTAGGGGAAAATTGCCTCTATCTCATGGTAGTGTTAGCATGCGTGAGTGAGCTACCAGTTACACCAAGTCGACGATCAAATGCGTTGTTTACAAAATATGATACGTTCCTTCGAAAAAGTAATCGAGAAATGCTTCGTGTACAAATTGCCGAGTTTTTTATCGTGATATTTCGAAATTTATTTTCAATGTTCGAAAATGCCGGAAATTGATCAGTTTTCAAACAGAGCTCAGCCAAAATTTAACGTCTTTACCAAAATTTAACTTCTAGTCGGTCCGAAATAATCACGCTCGTATAGCAGAGTTATTCGATAACTCATCTGTCACTTTTTACCACGAGATAAATTTAACTCGCCCATTGCGACACAGTCTTGGAAGTAAAATTAGGGCCATCCATAAATTACGTATATATTTTTTGACAAATTAACCTCCCTACCCCTCAGAGCGTGTTTTGCAATACACCTAATACATGGCCGGTCCCAACTTCTGAAACCCCTCTCCTCCCTCTACTACTACGTTATTTATGAAAGTTCCCACTGAGCAACACTGGAAATCAGCACACCACACAAAACAGGTTGGACGGTATTGATCATCAATATTTCGCGATAAGAACATTTTAGCTTGAAATCCCTGCACTTAATTATCGGTACATCTTTAATCTATTGATTGAATTAAACATATTCTTAACATGGTTTTTTAAGGCTGTGAACCATTTGCCGAGTTAAATTTAACTCGTAGTTAAAAGTGACATTTCGAAAGTTATTTCTTATGTTCGAAAATCCCCGTGCTGTCGATCGACCGGTTTTCGAGCCACGGTCGTCAAAATTTAACTTCTTGTCTGTCAGAAATAACCACGCTCGGATAGCAGGGTTAATCGATAACTTTCCATCTGTCAAATTTTAACCAAAAGTTAAAATAATCCACCAAATGGTTCAGAGCCTAAGATTTCGTGCGTTTTGTGAACGCACATTCATTATTTTGCATAAGAAAACGGGAACGGGGTGTTTCTGTGGTGATAAGAAGGATTTTCCTACACAGATTGCAGTTTTCTGTTCCAAGCATTGAAATTATCAGACGGTGTCTTATGCTTTTAGATTAGGTATGAAAGTCCCTCCTATTTTGAAAAATTATGCTATAGAACGGTTTATACAACCCCAGTTTTTTTTCTGATGGGGGCGAGACATAGCAAGCCGTTCGATTGCATAATTCTTTAAGTAGGAGGGACTTGCAATGCTTATCTCTAAGCATAAATAGAGGTACCGTCGAGTTTATTTTCAGTGCTAGTGCTAGGTTCTGAAATTCGAAAGTGAGCGTTCAAAAGCGCCTACTTGTAATGTTCGATTCTCTTCATCGATTTTCTGTTTACATTGCTGCAGCTAAGCAAAACAATTCAATCTGAACATTGCATTAGGTCCTAAGTAACACTGACAAGATTCTCTTCGTCGACTTTCTCCTTCACTCGGCCCAGGTATTTTCAGCACACATATGGATAAAAGAAGTTTTTACCTCGCATCTAATACAACAAGCACAACAAGAAACGATTCTCAAGTTATTAAGGTTGTGTTCCATTTGGTGAATGTTTACTTAAATTTGAAAGATGGAAAATTTTCAAATAAACCTGCTTATCCAGCAGACTTATTACTGACATACAAGGAATCAATTTTGATATACGCTTTCTCGAAAATCGGCCGATCAACGATCAACAACAGGGTTTTTCGAACATCTTAATTTATTTTCGAAGTGAACATTTTCCAAATGGAACACAGCCTTAGTATTTTTTTATTTGTTCAATCGGTGGATAAAAGATGTACCGAGAACTTATTGGAGGGATTTATGGCTAATTGATATCCCGATCAACTATGAAATGTTGCATAACATTGTTGCAAATTTGTGCACTCCGTTTAGCGTTTTGAAGTTGAATCGCTGAGGAAACCTTATTTCTGATCAATCTCATTACCACATAAAAATTTCAATAGTACAGATATCAGCTCTCACAAAACTTATAACAAAGAAACTGTAACTTCAAGTTTGTTGCAGTCCAGTACGCAAGCAGTTTCAATGTCAGAAGTGATGTCACACCCGTCCAAGATTTATGTCCTAGAAATCTTGAAGTGATAGGGAATATCAGCCATCATGACGGTCATTGTTGGACGCTTCAATGAATCACCTGAAGAAAGCCTTACTCATATCTGATTGTTATTTAGGAACCAAATGAAATACAATATGTATTCGCATTTTTATGAGGTCCTAAATTTAAACAAATTTTACTAAGAAGGAAATCCAAAATGTGTACATAGGACCGAAATCATAGGTTACTTCTACTGTATTTTAAATCAATAGCTTGAAAAACGCACAAGAATTTTATGCCCGTTACAAAAGTATAAACCGTTGTAAATTCAATCAAAATAAAATTTTCTAAAGTAACAGTTATAGTCACTTTTATGTTGCCAAATTTAGCCAGAATCAAATTACTTCAACTTGAAGCGGCAGAAGTCGCAAACCTATATTCCAACTTACAAATATCACAAAAAATATTCCACCATAAATAATTTAGTTGGCACGCATCCACTTAATCACTTGCACGAACAACAACAACAAAAAACTGAAACCGCTACGCCCCACAAAACTTACCCAATTATTCGGTGGTTCACCATTGGCTTTACCATCCTTCCACACGTAGTAATCCACGTACGAGATATTGCCGGCCAGCGCCTCCTGGAACCACTTGTGCTCATCGCTCGTATGATTCGGCACAAAGTCCAATATCACCTTGATGTCCAGCTCTTTCGCCTTAGCAAACAACCGTTCCAGATCGGCCAACGTCCCGAACGTTGGATCCACGTCCATGAAATCGGAAATATCGTACCCAAAGTCCTTCATCGGTGACTTGAACAGCGGACTGAACCACACTCCCGTTACACCCAGCTCGGCCAGGTGATCCATTTTTTCCAAAATGCCAGCGATATCCCCTACACCATCACCGTTCGAGTCCTTGAATGACCGTGGATAAATCTGATAGAACACTCCGTTCTCCCACCAATCCAAAGCCGGCATATCGTGGTCGTGGTCGTGGTCATCCTGCCGGACGGTTAATTTGGCACCTGCCAGGGCCAACAGACCCAGCAAGCACAACACTGAACACTTCTTCATCCGAAACGCAACACAGAACAGGGACAATCGCGGATTAGTACTATTGACAGACAGACGCAGATGGACGACAATTTAGGCTTTTTATAGTGTCCCGCTTATCTGGGAACACGTTTCGGAGATAAGTGGCTGATAAGTGACGAACAATGCTGGTATGATTCGGCTGTTAGTCAACAGCTACGGTTTGCAATTGCTGTTTTCGATTGGAATCGATTTGGAAGGGATTGAATATTAATGACTTATTTCCTTTTTGATAATGTAATTTATAATCAGAGTTTATTGCGTGATGGAACTCTCCATCCAGTTACCCAACGAATTCAAACAAAAACGAAACGAAAAACTGACGCCAAAAGAAGCGCAATAGACATCCTAATCACAGCAGTTCCGCTTGTTTCAAACACCACAGCGTTGTACCTTCCGAGAACGATGTTCTCCACGTCTTCAACTTCATCATCCTTTTGTAACTCCGCGTCCAGTGATGCGATCACCACCTTAGCTCTGGTCATGTCATCACTCAAATGTTTCAGGTTCACATTGACCTCATTCGGGTTGACGTTCACCACGACTACGTAGTTTTTGTGGTCAACCAGGCGCCGGGTGAATGCAAACACATTATTGATCAACGAGTATGTTTTTAAATCACCGTGACGGAAGGTATGTTCCTTACGCAGTTGAATCAACTCCTTGTACAGCTTGAACATACTCTTCGGAGCCGCTTTCTGGGCTGCAAGGTTCAGCTCCCGATAGTTGGGATGCACCGGAAGCCAAGTGTCGTTTTTGGCGTCTGCGGGTGAGAATCCTGCATTCGCGGAGTCATCCCACTGGAATGGCGTACGAACCGGATCGCGGGTGTGCTCCTGGAAGACGTCCGGGTTGGTGTTGCAAGCTTGCGGATCCTGCGTGTCATTCCAGGTGATGTCCCGGTTGTCTTCCATACCAATCTCCTCGCCCTATGGGTGGAGAGAAAGACGATTGTACTTAAGCTAGAGACGATAGTGTTAAGGGTAAACTTACATAGTACACCACAGCGATTCCAGGCAGCAACATCTCTAGAATGGCCATTCCCGATGCCCGATCTCTGCCGAAACGGGAAGCCACCCGAGGACGGTCATGATTTCCCAGCACCCAATTTGGAGTTCCATACTCAGGCATCGCTGCAATCCACCCATCGATTAACCGTTTGTAGTCCTCTGCTCGGGATTCGTTGCGTATATCCATGACAAAGTCGAAGTTGAACGGCATATGCGATCCACGACGGTCACCCTGTCCGAACCATTTCATCAGATTCTCCAAAGAGGTGTAAGCTTCAGTCATCATGAAACGCGTATGGTTGTCGACTTGCTTGTACGAATCGAACAGATCTCTCCAAGAATAGATTATTTCGTAATTTTCCTCCTAAACAATGTGCAACATTAGAAATCGGCATCAGCTAAGCTCAGCGGATCACTTACCAAATCCCTAGTATAAATGTGATCAAGATTTTCATACGACAGAGGCAAGTTCTCGTCGATGACAGGCTCATCATCAAACTTCTGATCCTCGTGAACGTGATTGATTGCGTCAATTCGGAACCCATCCACCCCTTTGTCCAACCAAAATTTAATCATATCGTCCATTTCCTTCTTAACCTCCTCATTGCGATAGTTCAGATCCGGTTGCTTCTTATCAAACTGGTGCAGATAGTACATCGACTGCCCAACTGGTTTCGTCCAGGCTGGTGTATGGAAAACGGCAACCTAAAATTAGCACAACGAATTTGTAACTTCTTATACACTTATCTATAAACGTCAGCACATTACCCAATTGTTTGGTGGCTGCTCCTGAGAATTCACAACCCGTCCATCACGCCACGTGTAATATTCCCGATACTTTGGATCACCCTCTAGCGCCTTCTGGAACCACTCATGCTCATCACTGCTATGATTCGGTACGAAATCCAAAATCACTTTCACTCCAAGTTGCTTCGATTTTGCAATCAACCGATCCAAATCTTCGATCGTTCCGAAAATCGGATCAACATCCCGAAAGTCGGAAATGTCATACCCAAAGTCAGCCATTGGCGACCGAAACAGCGGACTGAACCACACTCCATCGACGCCGAGCTCCACCAGATGTTCGAGATTTTCCGTGATTCCTTTGATGTCCCCAACACCGTCCCCATCACTGTCCTTGTACGATCGTGGATAGATCTGATAGAACACTCCACCTTCCCACCAGTCCAGTTCATGATGTTCGTGATCATTTCGAACGTCCAAACCGAACCCTAGGCAGACGGCAACGCCGACCGACACTATAAGACCACACACTATCAACAGTCGCATCCTGACGGATACTCAGCACACAACTTACGGTAAAAATTTACCTTTGGGATGGGTTGCTATTGGGCTTATATATCGATTTGGATTCTTATCGAAAAAAAAAATGCCGATATTCCTCCAGACGATAAGTTAATCCATCGATAGCGATACGATGGTAATCGTGCGACTCATATTAAAGAGGTAGCTTAGCTTTGGCTCAATACCTAAATAATATACTATGTAGAATTTCTTTTGCACCGAAAGAGATTTCAGGTGCAGGAACGGTGGACCGGATGTGAATTTGGAAGACTACGGATCAGGTGAATTTTTGGTTGGGACCGCGAAACTTCATATGCAAATTCAAAGAGGGGTGTTTGGGATTTCCAAATCTTAAATTCCATTGATCTCCTTAAAAAGGCCTTTATCGAGATTTTAGGAATGTATGGGATTTTCAAATCTTAAAATTCATGTTTCTGCGTAAATAAGGACATTTATAGAGATTTTTTAGGGATACTTGGGTTTTCCAAACCTCAAATCCATTTTTCTCGGTGAATAAGGCACTTATGACGATTTTAGTGGTGAATGGGTTTTTCAAATCTAAAAATCCAGTTACATCCGAAATAAAGGCCTTTATCGAGATTTTAAGACTTGACTTTATATGATCTTTATTTCTTGTGTTTGTGTGGTTTACATGTATTACTTATCAAGTGACACAGATGCGTCTATTCAACTTTAGTTCAATTATTATTAATTACAGTTCCTAGTCCTGTCAGGCCTGTTTAGAGAATGAGCACCTTGGTGGGATTGGTTTGTTATAAATTTGAAAAAGGAGACTACTTAAAACTACTATTTACAACTACAACTAACCTACAACTACTATATAAACCTAATCTACTACATACAAATTGCTTATCAAAGCATATTCTGATAAAATACATTTTTGTGCAAATTTAGTTTTAATTTCGTTAATTCTAAAATCTATTTTGCAATGCCTACCTCTTCGTGTAAATTTGTTATTCTAGTGTCGAAAGGGACGATCAAGTACCATCTTCAGCACTCTATTCTGAGTGAACTGGATTTTGTTCCTGTGAGTCTTTGCACATGATTCCCGGAGCTGCGTAGAGGATCGTAGGTGCTATGATTTGTTTGTAGACAGCCAGTTTGTTTACCCTTGAGAGGCGGGATCTGCGGCAAATCAGCGGATACAGACACCCAACCAAAGCAGAACACATGACTACAGTTTTCTCTACATGCGAAAAACATCCCGAGATAGGTTACTTCGGCAGACCACTCAGTCATGGATATGGCCTGTTGAAGTCCTTCCAACGTCCGGTCGATGTAATCTACGGTGTCGAGCGGTGGATTTCCATCGATGTTGCTCTCCACCATTCGTCCGTACTGCACCCAGCTGACATGGTGGTAGTCTTTACGCAGGCAGCTTCTAGCAGGAACCACGTTGACACCGACTTCAGTCACCACCGGTTGGTGGTCGGAGCTGAGATCGTTGTGCGCCTCCGGCTTGGATAGTCCGATGTTCGACAGGAAAAAAAAATCCAGGGTGGAGGGAATTCCCGCCGGAGAGATAAAAGTTGGTTCGTCTGGAAACTGCACAGTGTACAGTCCATGTTGTGCGTGGTCGAACAATAGACACCCATTCCGGTTCAACTGGTAGTTCCGCCAAGCTTCATGGCTGGCATTAAGGTCGCCCCCAACGATGAATCGGGAGCTAGTACAAGTGATGGCGGTCAGGTCGTTGTTGAATTTGATTCCTATAGTCCGTTGCTTGAAGTACACTGGCGTGGGCAGTAAACAGCGATAAACCGGATGACTAACGGCCTCAGTCTCGATTAGAAGATGGGTCTCGGTTAGAAGAACCACGTCGATGCTATGCTTGCGGAGGAAGTCGGCAAGCTCAATCTGTTTTGCTCTTACAGAGCAAGCGTTCCAGGTAGCGATGGTTAGCGGTTTAGACACCATACTGGATGATGAACTTACCGAGCACTTGGATCTGTTCGGGCTTATTGCGGCACTTACGAAGACCACCGGTCATGTTGACGAAAATTTCCATCAGTTCATCCGCTGAAAACAGATCGGGGTTGTAGTTTTGCGCTGGTGGTTGTCTCCAGAATCCAGGGGGGGATGGAGAGCTTTGGCCAGCAGAATCACCAGAAGTTGCTTGAGCTGAATGCACCCGTGAATTCGCTTACCTTTGCTGAGGAGCACGAAGAGGCGGAAAATCCTCCGTCCGAAATGCCGGGACTTTGTCCTTCTTGCGTCCTGGTTGGTTGTTAGTTGCCGCCTGTTTTCGAATGCGTTTGAAGTCCTCGCGTTTGGAGCACTGTCTGTCGGAACCTTGGTGAGCACCACCACAGTTGGCGCATTTTAACGCCACGGCTCCATCCGCAGGGCAGTCGGAAGTGGCGTGGTCTTGAGCGCAATTGCCACAGCGTGGCTTAATGTTGCAGTTGCGGGTGCCGTGTCCGAAGTTCAGACACCGTTGGCACTGAGTCACATCACGATGGCCGCCACGGTATGGCTCCCAGCGGACGATGATGGAATTGATGGAGCGGATGGCTTTCAGCGCGTTGAGCGTCACCGTTCCCTTCTGGAAGTGTACCAGGAAAAGGCTATCCGGATACGCCTTCACATTTTCGTCCTTCCTTGTCATCCGATAGAAGGCACTTGGGGCCAGCTCGTACCGGTCTCTGATTTCAGTTTCGATAAACTTTGGGTCGAAGTTTGGTAGGCCCCTAATGACGACCTTGAATGGCTTCTCACCGGGAATGTCGTGGGTGAAGAATTCCACCTTGGAAGTCCTCAGGTGGGCGACGACCAAGTCATACTCCGCTTTGGTACGGAGCACCACCTTGGTGCCGACTCTGCCCAACTAGTATTCGGCTTTAACGCCCAGCGTCGGTAGGTCTGCGATGAGCTCATTAAGATGGGCATTTTTCACTACCAATGGAGGTAGCTTCACTTTTGCCGCACTCGGGCCGGCAGAATTTTCGTTGCCGATGGCGTCGCCGAAGTCACCGATGTCGCTGGCGTTCGTCGCAGTGACATCGGACTGGCCTCGATTCTTCTTCCTCTTCTTGCTACATTTTTCCAACACAGCTGGCTGGATACTCCCATCCATGGGGAGAACAGCAAACCTGTTCGAGATAGGCACACCGGAGCTTCCTTCACCGGGGTTCTGGACCTTCGCCGGGCTTCGCGACCGATGCTTCCCCATTTCGGGGCACACACACACGCAAGACAACCCGCGAAAGAGAGAGCGCGAACACTGTCACCACGAACTTTTCAAACAACTCGAGAGACCGAGCTAACACCGAACTGAACTGCTTGACGATCAAGCAGAGAATCTCAAAACAAAATGGTATTTCACCATCCCAAATATATGTCTTTATTTAAACTTAAGCGATTTTAATTTCATGGTACTCAAATTTAACTAAACACCCTTTCAATCTTGCGCTCTATTTATTTGTTGCTTTTTATGTTATGCGTACTTTGGACCCATTCTTTCTAATTCATCCAGCGATTTTGTCTGCTAAAAAAACACGCACTCCTTGATGCAAAGAAAAATACATTGGAAATGTGAGTTTTAATACCTGTAGAAAATTTTGCAAGCTCAGATATGGAGTTGAAGTTGAATAATCTAAATATTTGCAATATTTCTTAATAATTCGGTGTCAATATTTAAATAGAGTGCAAATACTTTTGTGAACTGGTTTTATACAAATAAATGCTCACACACATACACTAAAACAACAGGAAGAGGAGTATTTCGTCTAATAGAAGATTATAAAGCGTAATTCAAATAGGGGAATTTACGTATTCTCGGCAACCTAAGCAGCGACCTTCTTTCTGTAGCCTTTTTCTCTAAGGAACGCACACATATGCAGTATTGGTTTGTTTAAAATCTTTTGCTGCCAGCTGCTCTAACAATTTCAGTCGAAAGAATTGTCAAAAGCTGTTTTGAAACGCTTTTACAAAGCTCCAATCTTCTCTAGTGAGAGCGAGTATTGTCGGCAACCAGTTTTTCTTCGGCAACCGTTCCATTTGAACTGCATGTAAATCTGCTGTTCTATTATCGGCAACTCGAAATCAGCTACAATTTGTAGTGCGTGTGTTTCATTTCAAGAAAACCTTGCTGGATTGCTTTTTCTCAGTGGTAAAAATATAGTCAAATTGAAGCTGAAAGCATAAAGAATCGTTTGCATGCATTCATGCATGAAAATAGTGTTTCAATTTGGGTTGCCGAAAAAAGTCTGGCATGCCGAAGCCGTCATTTCCCCTATATAAAAAATTATTTGCCTCGAATCGATTTTTTTTTTCTTTCGTTATTTTTGAGGGTTGATTTAATATTCAGTTTTAAAATCGAATCACTAACATCGATTTTTTTTTTTTCAAAACGTCCATTCCTATGACGATCAAGCAGAGAATGGCGAGATTTTAAGGGTGGTCTCTGTGAATAAGAACTTATTCGACATTTTGGGGGTGTTTTTCTTAATATTAATTTTATTATTATTTACTAGTCTTCGTATAAAAAAAACGCACAGACAGCGTATCTCCTTATTTTTCTAAAGTATCTATAAAGTACTGTTGGGAGCTTATATGCACCTAATGGAACGTGAAAGTGGGTTTTATCGTGGAATGTGAAACTTTTGGTTGTTTGAGAAGAAATTTTTTTCGGAACTTTATTTGAACTTTATGGAACTTAAAAATTCTGTCAGAACTTTATTCGAACTTTATGGAACTTGAAGGTTCTGTTGGAATTTTATATAAACTTTGTGGAACTTGAAAGGGAGTTTTATCGTTGAATGCAGAACTTTTGGTTGCTTGGGATTTTGTCGAGAGAAGTTGTTCAAGTACGATTCAGACGTATGTGGTCAGTTGTTACTTTTCACATTCGGAAAGAACGCCGGGAACAGATTTGCATAGTCCGAGCGTAAATCGGCTGTGTCTCCCTGATACCGAAGAGGTCCTCTGGTCCATTTCCGATTCTTCACATATGCGCAAACCGA